GAGTGCTAGAGCTCTGACTCCTAAACTCTAAGTAATAACAGAAGAAGAGAGCTTTGCAGTTAATGCAGGGATATACCTTAGCAGATCTGATTTAACAGATCTTTTGATGGAAGCTCTATCGTGTATCTGGACAGGGGCTGATCTGTGCCTCAGACTTTGCATTGCGCAAGTTGTTGGAATACACACACCCCAACACCAGAAGTAGAGTGCGCTTGTGTTACCACCCAGCAAACACGGACAGAGGAATGATGTGTGTGTTGCAGTGTGTGTTGCTCTGCATCTTCAGGACTGTTTCTACAGTTGCTCTGGAGCTGCTACTGCATCATCTTCAATGTGACAGCCCACAGCTTGGGCTATCAGTGATCGTGGAATTAGTTATGTGCTCTATCACTCTCCTCTCTTATTCCTCCAGAAACGTGGAATCTGTAGGAGAAACGTAGGGCACTGGTGTAAGATTTCTGTTACTGATCTCTTATAGATTGTTTTATTTACTGGTAAAAATCACTAATATACTTTCCTGATGGGCAGCTGAGGTGTGCTAAGCAAAATGTATCATAAGGGTAAAAAGAATGGAAAAGCAAATGTCTGCGATTTTAACTGCGAAAAGAAATAAAAGACAAACAAAAAAACCCCAAAAAACTCCCAAAACACACAAAAAAAGACCCAAAAAAAAGGAAAAAAAAAACCAAAATCCCAGAACAAAACAAAATTTAAAAACCACACACATAAAAAACCCCACAAAACAAACAAAAAAAACCAAACAAGTAAGATTTGCTCACCTGTCTCAGGACAGAATGGCTTGCAGATAGTAATGAAACAGACATCATTTCCAAGAGGCATGGTCCTGCCTGCCTGAAGGTAGAAAATCTCTGCTTTCTATGCAGTGCTACAGCATTTATGGTTTCTGTAAATGTGTTTTGAATGTCATTAGTATCTTCTCTCCCATGCCATTTTAAGCACTGCAGTTGAATACAGTCAGGGGAACAGTCTGCTGCTGTTTCTTGAGAATGCCAAATAAGCACCAGTGAATCCCTTACCAGAGTATTACATGAGATTCAAACACTGGGGTGTTTTCCCAGAATTTTAATCAGTGCTTGTTTGTTTTCTGCATACTTAAAGACGCTCACAAAGCTGTAGATAGTCTGGCTCCTTTCAGAGTGCTCTGTGAGAAAATCCCAGCTCTTAACCTTATTTGCCAGCTGTGTTGCAGCAAACAATAAACCTTTCCTAAGATTTTTTAGCAAATGAACAGTAAACAGAATAAGAGATGATCCCAAGGGTCAAAAAGAAGTGTGAAAGTAAAATACATTGACAAAATGAGCTGGAATGAGGATGCTGCAGTCCAGCTTTCCTGTAATGCTGGCCTGGAGCTAGTTCAGAGAAAAGGCAGAGTGAAGGACATTGGGGATGTTTTGTTTTGTTTTGCCTTTTTTTTTTTCCAGTCTGTTTTAACAGACTGTACTGCATTTCTTGTCTTTAAAAGAGGCCTACAGCAGAAGGTGAGATTACTTAAATATGCCACTCAGAAGTTCACTGTGTCTGAATAGTTGTTTTGCTGTAAAAGTAATAGTAAAAAAAGGACGTGATTTGTGAGATGAAAATGGGAGAGAATTCCTTTCTTTTTGTTTTTGATATTGTGTATATACAGTAGTGTAATGGAAAATTCTGTCTCAGTACAGAATCTATATGTCCTGCAACCACTAGATTTAAAAAAAAAAAGGAAAAAAGAAGAAAAGAGAAAGCTATATATAAAATTATACATGACCTGAGAACTGCCAGTGTGCCCTACTTGAGTGAATTGCAGTGTCCTTTGAGTGGTTAGATTCTTGGCCAGCCATTTGTGTTCCACATGTTTTCATGGCGTCGCACAGTAGCTAAATTTGGAAGGGGCCTTTGGATGTCATGTAGTTGACCTGTCATGTAGCAGGTTCAGCTTTGTAGTTAGATCCACTTTTGAAATTGTGGGTTTCTCACACACATCTGAATGCATGCTGAGTGTTTCCCTGGCTGGAGATTCGACAGCCTGCTTCAGCGTATGATCATGCTCATGGTTAAAAATTCTGTTCTTTGTATCAAGTAGGAATTACCCTTGGCCCAGCCTATATTCATTACCCCTTGGGTTTTTTCTGAGCATTCTTTCTGAGCGTTTTTGGGATGAGTCTAGTTCTGTCTTCTCTCTAACTACTACTTAGGTGGCTGAAGATCCCTCCTTAGACTTTTCTTCTTACAGTTAATAAAGGAATTGAATACCCTCAGATTCTCCTCATAAGTTGTATGCTTTAGAACCCTAATTGCTTTGGTGAACCTTTGCTGATCTCACTCCAGTTTGTCACTGTTCTACTGGGTAGCCCAGAAGTAGACACAGTACTCCATGTTTTTTCAGTGACCTGAGTTGAAAAACTTCTGTTTGGCTCCAAGACAGCTGGAAAACTCCCCTGTATTTCCAACATACAAAGAGTGTATAATACTGATAGACTATCTGCCAATAAGATTTATAAATTAAAAAAGCAGTTGATGATATGAGCTAAAAATATTCTACCTACTTCTTTGAAGATATAGTCAGGAAGCTGCATGAAAATATGTGCTTCAGGAAAAGTCATGTTGGTGGCAGGGCCATACTGCCTGAGCCAAACTATATCCATTCTACGTTTTCAAGTTGCAGGTTGTTCTCAGAAACACATTGATTATAAATTTGCAATGAGGAGAGTCTAAATTCTTCTCTTTTCACAGGACTTCAAATCCTTGTAGGAGGATATAGTCATGCTCATATGCTCACTTTTCCAAGTTATGCCTTCTTAAGTCTCTTACTAGTAAGATGTTCTACCTATTCTTTGCTACTCTTGCACCTTTACTGTGGCATTTCCATAATGAAGGTTGTCAGGTAGCTTCTGTGGCTCTCTGTTAAGAGCATCTTTTCCAGCCAATCTAAAACCAAAGTTGTTGACCCAGTTAATGCAATGTCCACAGTGAAAGGTCTGAGCAAAGAAAAAGCTAATGATCTCTTGAGATATGGTCCACCTGTAAACTTCTGTATATTCCCGTTTTATCTCTGTGTCTTAAAAAAAAAGCAAGCAAAATGCAAAAGTGGAGGGAGTTTCAAGAAAGTTGCTCATTTCTGTTGTATCAAAAGATTGATAGACTGAGTAAAATATATAGTACTTTTAGAGGAATTATTGTTACATTAGGAAAATTTGTAAGTGGAGTACTTATACAAAGAATATGTTTTAGCTATAGGGAATGGTAGCTAAAAAGCTGATCATATATGCCATACTCAAGCCTAACAGCTATCTACTTGGTGACTTTAGGAATACCTAAAGCATGATATCCTTGTATGGTATCTTCTATGAAGTTATTGCAATATAGCAGTAAGTCTTTGCCGAAAAGCCCTCAAAAGAAAGGGTTCATGTTGGGAATCTTTTCATGGAGACTTTTGTTAAATTATCACTTATACAAGTGATTACACACTAGATACACTAGTGTCCTTTCAGATTCCAGTTGATGACCATGCAGTACAGTGCTGGAGATGCTAGATGGCTTCAATCAGCCTTTCAGTGCACAACAAAGCACATGTGCATACCTGGGCACCTTTCCACATTTGAAACATGTCACATGTTTATAAGATAGCCACCTGCTAATAAGAAATGTGCATCTATTTATACAAAAGTCATTTCTGTGTTTTATAACCACAGTGTACTCTAACTAAACAGAATATTGGTACACTAATAGGAGATACTCTTGATTCTCTGAAAAAATGCAAGTGCATAGCTGTATTCATTAAACAGCATAGAAAATCAATACCTGAGATACCATTGAGAATACAAGCAGTGTCATTTTCCCTGTCTCTCTAAATTTAGGTATCCATAAAAACATGCATTAAACAAATGCTTCCAGATTACTTCCTTCTTCATTCCTTGATCATTGAAGCAATGATATAAACTGCTCTGGTAAATCATAGTATTATGAAGACTGGACAGCAAAACCTCAGTGCCATTTGTGGGTTTTAGAGCATTTGAATAAAGTTTTTAGAGTGTAATTTAATCTGTCCTTTGTACCTAGGAATACTACCGACCAAATCCTGTGTTTCTTTATTTTGCTGTTCCAGAAAAGATTAATTTTACAAGCTTAAATTCCCATACTGTGGTGGCATGGGGTCCTTCCACATTTCCCATAAACACTGCTTTACACATTCGACATGCCAGAAGCATGAATAATATTGGTATAAATACCAAGGGTAGAATAAAGGATTGCTCTTATTCTAATCTGTGAAAGCATCTGAACATATGCTAGGGATTTACTAAAGTCGGCAAGAGTTAAATACATGCTCAAGAGTTAACCAAGAAAATATTTGTCCTTGCTGAACTGGGAGCTCTGTGGTAATAGGAATAGATTATACTCAACACTTTGACGATATTTCTCAGTGGTATAACTCTTCTTGCTTTGAAGAAATAAGATGTAAGACATAACTTCAGTGCCTCACAGCATCCTTTTAGGGCATTTATATAAGTGTATCTTTAAAGCATAAGCCATCCTCTTTTGATTTTCCTGAGCTTAGCAGTTACTGAAGTAACAGAATGAGGAAATAAGAAAATGACTGAAATTATATTTTTTAATATCAATTACTAAAAATTTTAATTTCCTCCTTAATTTTTTCCTGTATTTTCCTAGAATTTATTTTGTTAAAGAAATACAAATATTGCCTCTTTTATGAGTTTTTCATTAATATACTTTTTTTTTTAGAGTCTACATTTCTATGTAGAAAAAAGTTCCCAAAATGTTAAGTATGTGTTTAAATACTGTCTGTTCAATGGATTCTTTATCTCTTAATTTAGAAATAAAAACAACCAACATAATCTTCACCTGCAAATATACGTTTATCGAAATGCAGTTTCTTGATTAGAATATTGGTTTGTTCTGACCACTAGATGGTGTAAATGTCTGCAGGTATGTATGTCTGCTTGGGAATATAATGACACAGTTACAAATATTTTTCTGACCAACAGATATTTCCGGGGCTGATTCTATCAGACATTAAGCCTGCCAAAAGAATGAAGTTCAAGACTGTTTGCTACCTGCTTGTTCAGCTCATGCACTGCCGTAAGATGTTCAAAGCGGAGATCCCTTTCTCCAATGTCATGACATGTGAGGATGACGATAAGGTAAGCTATGTTGGGCTCTTTGGGCATTGCAGCCAGGGCTTCATCAAGGACATCTGCTCTGAGAACATATAGAGTGACCTGAAAAACTGATAGAGGAGTTTCTGGTGTTCCTGCTGGAGCTAGACATACCTACCTAGAGAAGGCCCACAGCCTTCTCATAGCAAAGGCAAAAAATAATTATAACAGGTC